GGCAGGTTTGGGTCCCTTCTTGTTAGGTGCCCGGGGGCGGGGGGAGAGGAACATGGCATTCTGTTAGGGTATTAAAGCCACCTGTATTCCTTAGCCTCATCCCCCATCCGAAAGTTAAAGCCAGAAGTACATCTTCCTGATGCTTCCTTTTCTCAAGAGAGAGAAGGATACTTTTGTCAGAAAAGGCATCTTTTATGACTATGCTGAACACAGCAAAAGACGTAGAATAATCCAAGAGCCTTCCCTTGGTCGCAACCTGAAGAAAAGTCCATTTGCTCATGAAAGGCAGATGATGTGCCCACCTTGGGAGCCCAGGATCTGGGGAGGCGGGGTGGGGAAGCTTGTCATCCCTCCAGTGATTGGCAGCTCGGATGGCTCATCAGAATCAGTGGCGTTCAGTATTTCCTAAACCCCTTCAGATAACCACCATGTGTGGCCAGCAGGGTAGTGTCCTGATGTCCCCCCCCCCCGTGCCCTGCCCACGAGCGTGTACGTGCAAGACAAATGGAAGGCTTTCCACAAGCAGTGGAATCCTAAGGCCCCTGAAAACCTTTCCGTGAATAGCAAACGACCCCCCTCCTCCCCCCAATAGTCGACTTGTGTTTTGGCACACGGTCTCACTCTATAGCCCTAGCTGAAGCCTAGAACTCACAATCTTCCTGCTCTGGCTTTCCAAGTGCTGGCATTACAGGTGCGCGCCACCCACCACAGCAGAAGAATTATCCGTGACTCTTAAAATTACTGTCTCGTGTTTCGACCAGAGTAGCATGATGGTGCAGGGTTCCAGGGAAGAGTAAAATGAGGAGTTCCTTGCCTAAATCATGCTGGTTCCCATAGAAAAGGAGGCTCCTGCGCTCTTTCATTCATGTAACTCACTAGCCACAGACGTGCAGTAGACTGGGGATGGGCCTGGATCCATCTTTCTCAATCTGCTCTTTCTTCCTAAGTAAGCTCAGACCCTAAATTTATCGTCACTTTCTAAATGTATTTTCTGCCTCTCTGCTTCTATCATTGCTTCCGACAGGAGATTTTCTTTCTTTCTTTTTTTTTTTTAATCCCAAGATTTCCATTTGTCCTTCTTTTCCCTTCACATCCCAACTGGTCAAACACTCTCTGAAGTATTGCAGAAGGCTCTGTGTCCCTGTCCAAGGCCTGGGGACTTTTGCTACCATGTCATTTGGCCTCAGCCATCTTTCACGATTATTTCTCTTTTTATGTAAAATCGCCTCCGTCCGTTCATAAACTCCTTACAAGCAGAGAAACAGACAGTGGGAAAAGAAGAAGTCCTTAACAAGTATCTTGTGCAGAATAGGGGTCAGTAAACGTGTACCGAGGTCGGTTGGAGCTAGCCCTCCGTTCTTTTGAGACCATGTTCTTGGCCAACACGTACCTTTGAGTTGCAGACCACCGTTCTTAGTCTTCATTCCACGAGGCAGCAGAATGGCACCTTGAGTGACATTTGTCTGTCTTGTGCCAGCTTTTTAAGTTTGAGTTTTATTCATCGGTGGGTCTAGCATTTCACCCAGGAGTGACAAAATGAATCTGTGAATGAATTGATTAGAATATGTCTCAGCCTCGAGCCTCGAATGGTACCAAGGGGCTCCACCCACTGCCCGAGAGCCGCAGGAGCCCGAGACCAGGAACGCAACTGCCAAAGGACAAGGTGGAGGAACCTCAGAGGTCTTCCCACTGCCTGTGCACCTGTCCAAGATGGGAGACTGACGCCTTTAGGGTCTGGACACCACTTCAAGAATGTTATTGGTGATCTATCTATCTATCTATCTATCTATCTATCTATCTATCTATCTATCTATCTATCTATCTATCTATCTATCCATCCATCCATCTATCCATCCATCCATCTATCCATCTATCTATCCATCTATCCATCTATCTATCCATCTATCCATCATCTATTTAATACTAATATATATATAGTTTTGTTATCAGTATTATATATAATGGATGTATTTTATATGTGCAAACATGTATACATACAAACATGTTACAAACATGCATTTGTATCTACATGTATATACACATACATGTATATATACACATATCCATCCATCCATACGTATCTAAAACACGCACACACACACGCACACGCACACGCACACATATATATGTTAGACCTGGGGCTTGAACTCCGGGATTCAGCACTCTCAAGGTTGGTGCTCGAGCCACATCTCCACTTCCATGCTCTCAGTATTTGCACAGCACCATGGTTCAGGAACTGTTCATGCTCCAGTGTGGTGGGCGGATGGAGCACTCCAGAGATAAGTGGCGGGTGATTGATTTTTTTCCCTTTTTTTTACTAACTCGGTAGCCTACGACGGGAACATAACCACAGTTATTCTGATGTTTAGTGATTTAATGAATCTCCGTGCAATCCTTTAGCTGAATCTCCACCACGTTCAAATCCAGCACATTAAGAACCTTCCAAGTTGGCTTTGGGACTGGAATTGAAGTGAACTTGTAGTGATGGCTTTTCACCAGTGGCCGTCTGGCGTCAGGGCTAGTTGTTGTTGTGTGCTTTAGACCTGAAGCTCTTTGCTCCGTAAAACATTGCATATTGAGCATGCTCATGCGGCTGTATCTAGAATTAATTGATGTATTGAGACAGCCAGTCATTTTGAGAGGAGTCTCGGAGGCTGATCTATTATGTCTTCTTCTGCAAGTCCCCATCTATACCCTCGGAAATGATGATATTGGTAAGCGGGACATGGACTTAGCAAAGGCTATCGGATCTCCTTTTTGCTTGGATGGCTCAGAGACAGTTGTTCATAGCTCAGTTTTCAGACAAGGGGAGATGGATTACATTTGAGACCGCAGGGTACCAATTTATTAATTCCAGGAAGAATGGCCAGGCCCATGCAAACCACACACATTCAGGTTTATTATAACAAAGGGATAATCTTCTTATCCTTAAGCTACAGGTGAAACCAACCAATAATGGTCTTATGACTTGAGCTATTTGAAGTGTGTTTGGGGTATCTCTTCTTGCCAATGGGAGTCAAGTTTCCAGCTAGGACCTCAGAAAAGTAGTAGGTAAACAGCTCATGTTTAGGGATTCCCAGATTGGGATCCCAGAACCATTGAGATGAAAACTTGGAAGTATAAGCTCAACTTTGAGCTAAAACCATGGAGTCTGTTCACCTCAGACTCTTTCCTCAGTCCTTCTTCATAAGTTAGATGACACTTAGAACCGACCTTGGCAGCAGATTCAGAAGTTAAAAGTATTTGAAATTCAACGCTCAAGGCCCTCGCATCTGAAGTGAAGACAGCGCCAGTGGGTAGCTGGGGCCATCCCCTTGCTAATCCAGTCAACATCTCTACTCGGAACCTTTGTCTAAACACTTGTGGAGACATTTGATTCCCGTTGATGACCGGGGCCCTCTCTCTACTGGGGGACTGTGTACAGGTCAACTCTTAGAAGAAAGTATGTTTTCCATATTTTGGAATGGTAATTTTTATTTTAAGAAATAGAGGAGAGGAGGAAAGGGAGGGGAGGGAAAGGGAGGAGAGGAAGGGGAGGAAGGGAAGAGAGGAGAAAAGAGAGGAGAGGAGAGAGGACAGGGGAGGAGAGGGAAGAAGAAGGGAGGGAATAAGAGGGGAGGAGAGGAGAGGAGAGGGGAGGGAGTAAGAGAGGGAAGGGAAGAGAGAAAAAGAGAATCTCTCTTCAGAAAGCCAGTGCTTTACCCGAGTCTGTTTCCTTCCAAAGCTCTCATTTTCCCTTCTGTCCGACTATTTCTTACTCAGCTGCCTTCAGTCTTGGAATATTTCCTTTTGAAATTTCTCACATGAACAATGGTATTAGTCAACAATATCTAGGATTATTTGCTTGGAAATACATTTTGCCTTTCAGTCTGGTATATGTGAAGGAAGTGTTGGGGACTGAATACTTTCCTGCCTCCAGCCTCAAATAAGAATGGATGATTCTATAAACTCTCTTTGTTTATGGAACAAAAACAACAACAACAAAAAATACAGCATTTCCAAGGTCAGCTCAAGCTGTAAGTGCTACGAGAGAGGTTGTTTTCTTTTCTTTTAATAAATATTTCAACTCAATTCCATTTCTATGTAAAACTTCACAAAGGAGAAAAGGAACGTTTCTATTTAGCTAAAAATACTTGCCATTCATTTTTTTTTAACCTCAGATAATATCTGAGTCAGTGAAATAAAAAGAAAATGCTTCATTCTTGCTCAGTTATCTCAGCCCATTTTTATATAGGCCTTTGCTTATCAAAACAAACATCTTTCTTTGGATGGCTTCCTTTCGTTGAAAGTGTTGTAAAGGAGTGTCACTGTGCATCCAAATCTGAGCATTTCATGGGCTGTTATAACGAAGGTAAGAGAAAGAAAAATCGCAATTGTTTTTAAGAGTAGCAGTAAGGGTCACACTCATTCCATTCTTCCTCTTAAAACAAATCCCAAAACTTTTCTGTGAGGTAGGCCTGAGGTTCGTTGTGAGCCACCATTTCCACATTTCCCAGTGATAGGACAGTTCACAAGATGCCAACTTGTGCTGAGGCCAGTCATTTAGTTCATTTATTTTGATGAAGGAAATGTGAGTTATTGCCTGTGCTTTTAAAGTGCCCACCGTATTTGCAATTCATCAAGGCTTCTGTCTTCAAGGAGGTCTATCAAAGTGTAAAACTAGATGGGTAATTTTTTTTTTCCCTCTCCCCTTTCCTTTAAAATGGAATGCTCTTTCATTATGTACCATCGTTCTTAGGAGAATTCTCTTTTTTAAGAAGCCAGGATACAAGAGAGTGCTATATTAGAGTATTATTCTCACAACAAACAAGCCGGGTTCGTTGCTACCTGCTTGGCCATTGTTTCTGATTGTGTGTGCCTTGCGGTGGTATTTGGATAGTTTCCTGCTCTCTGCCAGCACAAAAAAGGCATTTCTGTGACAATGGGGCCTAACTACACAATGACGGCATTAAGGATTTATGTGGAGGTTTCATTATTTTCTCCTCTTTTGTTCCTCCCAGGATGTCTTCCAGGCGCCCAGCCTCTCCGTATGGGGAAGCAGATGGAGAGGTAGCCATGGTGACGAGCAGACAGAAAGTAGAGGAAGAGGAAAGTGATGGGCCCCCAGCCTTTCACCTTTCTTTACATGTGAGTTTTCCCACCCAGCCTCACTCCGAGGAATTCCAGCCAGTCCCTCTGCTGACCCACGAGACGGGCGGCCCCCGAACACCCACTCCTCAGCACAGTAGCATGGTAGGTTGCCTCCCGGGTGTCCACGGGGCCTACCTCGCCCCTCACTTTCCCACTACGTCTCCTCCTCCCCTGATGCTTTGCCCGTGCGATGATGGGTGACTAGCCATAGACAAGAGTTCACTCGTGGCATCTAGCGAGTTCCTCAGTGTGTAGGGAAGGAAATGGGTTCCAATAAGGAATAAATATATGTTATATATATATATATATATGTTTAAACATATATATATATGTTTATTTTAGTTCTGTTTTCTTTTTCCTTCAAAAAAAACAACAACAACCCAACAAACCTGTTTTGGAGACATGACTCCATGAGAGCGTAAACCGTGACGATGTAATACCTACCATAGGAACATCTTTAAAATTAGTCAGCGTGGAAGTGTGCCCTGTACTCTTCCTACTGAAAGGTTTATGATCAAGAGTGGAAGTGGACCTAAGGTCACGATTGGTAGCATGGTCAGTCAGTGCCTTTGGTGTTCTTGGTTTTGTTTGTTTGTTTGTTTTCCTTTGGCTTGGCTTCCAGACTGCATTCCGTGTTCCTTTCCACACTTGGAGTTTTGGACAAAATCATATGTCATAGTAACGATGATTTCCTAATGTGACCGCACTCATTGTGGTGTCTAAATCAATCCCAGGCTGGGCTGTTGTTTGACAATCCACTGATTCCCCGTTGCATGCTATTCTGCAACACTGGTTCTGTCAAATCTTATTATTTTTTCCCCCTCCAGAAAAATATTACATATCCTAAATATTCCCAGTGCTGAAATATATCCACTTATTCTTGTTATTAAATTACTTGCTGAAGAGTTAAATCAACAAAGGGAATTGAACAGCTCCCAGTAGCTACGTGATAGATATGACACTTTGACTTCCGAATTAGATTTAAATATTCCCGCCGAACATTTTAAAAGGCAAGGTGCAGTGGCTCATGCCTACAATCCCAACTACTTGGAAGGCAAGAAAGAGGAGGATTGTGGTTTGAGTCCAACCCACGCAAACTCAGCAAGATCGACCTTCAAAAGAACTAGATGTGGCCATCAATGCACACCTGTAATCCCGGCAATAGGAAAGATACACCTAAGAAGAACCGTAGTCCAAGAGTGGTCTGGGGAAAAAAATAGTATGAGACCTTGTGTGAAATACGAGTAAATGAAGAGGAGCTAGAGACATGGCTCAAGTGGTAGAGTACCTGCCTACCAAGCAAGAGGTAGTGAGTTCAAACCCAGTGGGAAATAAAGAAAATTAAGCTTCACAAGTCACAATTTCTTGGAGCAGTGCAGTTTTCCCACCATGAATATTTTTACCGTCATGCATGCACCTCTTACCCAGTAAACCCTTCTTGAGAATATCATCTTAACCTGTCATCTGCTTTCTATGCAAAGAAGTGGAAACTCAGAGAGATTAAATAACTCATTCCAGAATATAGCAGTAAATGGGAGAGCCAGGCTGTACCCGGGCAGTCTGGCGCTGGATTCCATGATGATGAACCTTATCTGCAGCTCTCTCAAGAAACCAGGTGTATGGTTTCATAGTCTCCCTGTCGTTCCTTGGTAAATTAAGTCATGTATCTTATCAATCCTCCTCATTCTTTCCACTGCAAGTTTGGATTCGTCAGATGACTAGTCTTTTTGCCTTCTTTTCCAAAAGGAGAAGAAAAGGGAAAACAGGTGAACAGGGAAAGGGAACCAGACCCTCCACTGTAAAAAAAAAAAAAACAACAAACCAATCATTACTGTGATGCTTTCCCTCCCCGCTTAAGATTGTCCATTGCTTTCTCTCAGGGAGCTCTGGGCAGAGAGTGGCTCCCAGGGAGACTTCCAGTCCAGATCCGCAGGGTAGAATCTCAGTGGTCACAACCAGAATGAAAATCTATAAAGGGGAAATGATTTTAGCCACACTGGAAGCTGGGAAAGTATATGAAGGATGAGAACATTAAAGCATATTCAAAAGGAATGTCTCATCAAGCTACAGAACAAAAGAGTAGATAGAGAACCAAAGTAATGGTGAAGATCTGCCCCTCTTGAACTTATTGGCATCTCCATACACAGGATTCACTCCTGTTTCCTGCCGACGCTCGCTGCCGTGGTTGTTCATTTTATTACGACTTGGAGATTGCACTCAGGACTGTGTGCTGGCCACGCCTACTCTACCACGGGAGCCCTTTCACCATTGGTTATTTGCCAGGTGGGATTTCACTTCAGGCTTAGGCTGGCTCCAACTACAGTCCTCTTGTTTGTGCGTTTCTGTGTCACTGCCTGGGGGGGGGGGGGGGGGGGGGGGTTTGAACAGCCTTGGGCCACCCTGCCCAGCCATTGGGCATCCCCATAACTGGGAACTCAGTTTACACTTTGCTGCATACACCCATAGTTAGAGATCAAGTCCAGTAAACTCTGCTCAGGTAGTGTCGGCCCTCTATTCCCTCAGTGTCTGTCTTCTAAGTAGCTGGGATTATAGGCTTGAGCTCCAATGCCCGGCAGGACTGGTACTCGCTGTTACTGTCCGTGTAACTGATTTCTGGGTTTGAATCTTAACTGGGGTACTCCTTGCTTTGAACCGCTCTTGAGCTTGACGCAGCATCCGTATGACCCCCACATTTCAGAGTGTCTGGAATTCATCCTTCTACCTTCCACCATGTGTGGCTCCTTGGGAAGAACAAAAAACAAAAATGAAATAAAGTAAAAACACCAAGAACAAAAAACAAAACCCTAAAACATGATTCTGCATCAAACTACAACTGCAGTTTCCTCTTATACCCCGTCCTGCCACCGATTCCACGTTCCCGTCTGCCATTCTCTGCACTTGTGTTTCTGAGGCCCCAAAGGACACAATGTTCTTGTTTTTACCCGGAAAACTCTTCTCCCTTTTGGAATTTTACATTCCAGGGAAAACTCAGGTTAATCATCTTTCCCTCACAAGAATGGATTCACGATGTAGCATTTATTAGATGCTTTCTTGTTAATTTTCCAAGGAAGGGTGGTTGGTGAATTGTTCATTTATCCATAATGCTTTTCTCATATAATACATGCTTTTTGTTTTTTGTTTTTTTTTGGGTCAGTTGTGGGGCTTGAACTCTAACCGGGCCTGGGCACTGTCCCTCAGCTCTTCAGCTCAGGGCTAGCACTTTACCACACAAGCCACAGCGCCACTTCTAGTTTTCTGGTGGTTGATATACATATATACATATCTATATATTTGGTATTGATATCTATATTTATACAAACATATCTGATATTTCACATGTAATAGATACTCAATTTATGATGATTCACTGAGTGGTAGCCTTGATATGGATGAATAAGTAGTAAATATTCTGAAGGAAAATTCTTGGTGACTGTTGACTCTTTAGGATTTTTATTTTTGTCTAGAAATTTTAGAACAAAAATGCTATTTAACAATGTATAACCAGAAAGAGGAAAGTCCTGATTTCAGCTCTGAAACTGATTAAGATATTTTTTTCCTCATTTATCAAAATGATTGAGTGTATTTATAGTATTGTAATTCGACATGAATATGTTTTCTTTTTTTGGATACTAGACTATTGTCCTTTTCACACAATAGGTTCTTTTATTTCAGTAAGGAAATGCATTCTCCATTTTTTTCCTATTCAGTGTCTTTGAAAACAGAATGTTTCAGAGTCTTTATATTGTGAAGTTCAGTTTAAGAACACAGGCATATTTCATTGCCTATTTGTGTGTGTGACAGTCATATTCCATTCTTAAATGGAGAAGAAAGACTTTGGGTCGTGTATATTTTGTATTGCCTGAATAGATTAGAAATCCATGGAAAACTGAGTAATGGTCCCTAAGATTCTGAGTTAAAGGTACAGAGAGAAGCCTATAGCATAAAATATCACAAAACTAAATAAAATAACTTACAGAAATTCTCAAACCTCTTTAACCAGTATGAATTTTAAGAGTGCATTTGTATTTGTGATGGTCTTACTGGATTTACGCAATGCATGCAGATGAGCTGTCTTAAGCACCATGCTGACAAATGTTCATCAAATGTTGTTAAATTTCTAATCTAGAATACCAGGCGCAGGTTGTTGTAAGGTCTATGAGAAAGACGGATTCTGTTAGCTCCTTCAAGAAAGCTGTCATAATGTGGTCAAGTCATGAACAGCCAAATTGCCTTTCCATATCATCTCTGAAAATTCAAGTGAGCTTCTGATTCTATTACGCAAGGCAAACCACCCTGAGCCGTATTCCTATTGGCGATCAGATTTCCCCTCATCCTCTTTGTCATTGGTTTTGATTGGATTTTGTTGTTGCTGTTTCTGAATGGCTTCGAAGTTTCTCACTCCTCTTTCATGACAGTTCTGATACAGATGGGTTTATTGGAGGATGCAAAGAGCTGTTTGGGATGTGCTCTCTTGGCGATCAATATGAATAGCTACAGCGTCAGGAGGGGTGCAGGGGACTGCAAAGAGAAAGCAGGGAGCAGCAAAGCCGCTCAGTGGTGGGCATGGGGGGGGCGCTGGCTTTCTGTCTGGTTACATGCTAGTTCTCTTGTCGAGATTCTTGTTCCGACGTCAAATGTGATGTGAAATGAAAGTCTCGACCACCTGTGGTTTCTGAATAAATCACCTGTCCTTTTTTATTTCCCCCTAAAGAATATTCTATCTCAAACTCAAATTCCCTTTTGACTTGGTGAGCCTGTTTTTGGTGAAAGGGAGCAGCAGTATATGTCCAATTTTTTTTTTAAAGTGGTTTCAGTAGCTTCATGTAGAGGTGTTTGGGTTTTATTATACAACCATTATACGTGTCTGTATGCTTTATCTTTTCGGATGGCTTCAGATTTTACACAGGTCTTACCCCAGGGCTAGACAAGTACCATATCATTGAGCTAGACTCCTTGTCCCTTATCTCTTTGTTGAGATGGAAACATAGAATCTCACTGTATTACGCAGGCTGGTCTTAAACTTGTTGACACAAGAAATCCTCCTCCTGCAGCTTCCTGAGGAACAAGGACCACAGACCCAGATGCCTGTATGTGACTATGAG